CTCCATCACCTCGAGCGATGGCAGAGCAGAAGTTCACATGAGGGTCGTGCCCTTTTGGCCAGCCCTTGCAGGAGAAGGAGATGCTGCCCACGGTTTGGCTTAGAGGACAAGATGATGGGCAAGCGCGTGCGGGACGCCTTCCTGCATGCCGTGCTCCTCATCGGAGGGGCTGTGTCCATGGTGCAGTTCTTCGCTGCTGGTAGCCCAAAGGACGGCGTCGAAGAAACCTGTCGCTGCAAACAGTAAGGCCGCCTGACAGTCGACGAGGGCCCCGGCGAGACCAGGCCAATGCTGACGCCCGAGCAGGAGAGTGCAGGCATACCCCAGTCTCTTATGCCTGCGCTCTCCTTGAGCTCTCCCTGGGGCTTGGAACATCCACAATACTGCTGGTCTATTACCTGCTACACAACGGATTCCTCTTGGTCATGATGTCGTGGTGCATGATGGACAAGCTGATGCTGGGAAGCGCGGGTATCGCTTGGGAGGCTATGGGTCTCTGGCTGGTCGCCGTGCTTGCCGTCGACGTTCCGGGGTACCTTGAAGGTACCCTGCAACGTCCACGGCAAGGGCCGTGCCATTCAGGCTGCGTGGATGATCATGTCTATCGTTCCCATTCTGAAGGACTTTATCTTTACTTGCAGTTGGTCGCCTAGCCTGTGCGGAAGACGAGGGAACTCGACAAAGGCACTTTGGGATCGGAGTCAGACTCCGATCCAAAGGCCAAAGGCCCCTTTGTCAAGCTCCCTCATCTTCCGCACGCAGCCTGGTGACGTTGTTCACGCCAGCGCCGTTCCTGTGTTGCTTCGGTCCAATGCGATTGACAAGGGCTTGTCGCCGCTGGTGGTGGACGTTCTTGGGGCAGAGGCTGGGGGCTGAGTTCATCAAGGTCTTTGCGCAGCAGAGCACTCCGGCACGGCTCTGGATTGCGATTCGCGAGGATGTGCCACAAGGCGGTCTTGGCAGTCATGGCGATGCTCGAATTTCAGAAGTTTAGATGATTGCAGATGTTTATAGGCCTTAGGGTTTGCAAGGGTTGTCTATGCAGGTTTCGTATTTGCAAGAAAAGAGTTGCAGTAGCTTAATTCTTTCAACAGGCTTCCACGAGAGTGCCAAGCCTCTTGATCAAGGAACATGCCTTAAAATACAGGAGGATCCATATCGTGGTTTGCGGGAAATCGTTTAATCAGGGGTTTTTGGAGTTTCTGGGTTTGGGTGCTGGGGAATCTAAGGCTTTCAAGGCGCAGGTAGATTTTTAGCGAAGTTCGATGGGTTCAACGATTCGAAACGATGGGATCCTGGTAGGTAAGGGCCAGGGATCCATATTAAGAGGGGGTTTGGGGCTTCTGTGCTTCAGGGTTTAGGGCATTTAGGGTTCAGGATTTGAGCTGTTCAGGTGTTAGGGGGTTTAACTTGAGGGTTTCGCGGTGTAGGGGTTGAGATAAAGGGACTCTTACTTGGGATACCGTCACCTGCCCTCATCCCTAAACCCTAAACCCTAAACCCTAAACCCTAAACCCTAAACCCTAAACCCTAAACCCTAAACCCTAAACCGTTGTGACCCTTTGAGCTCCCTGAGATGAACCATCGGGCTTCAGAGGTACGGTTAGTCCTAGGTAGTCTTAGGGGGACGACCCTACTTATGGCTCTCTTAAAGGGGACCGCAATGAGAGGGCGTATATCCTCAAAGGTCCCCCTAATCCTATCTGGTCCTATCTCCTAGTGAGTCTTCTGCATCTTCCTAAAACTCGACCGCCCGAAGTATGACGTCAGATTCCCTTTAATGTTATTCGTAGGAAAAGTTCGAATTTAGCCCATTGAACTCCAAAAACTGAAGATAAGGATGTCCATAGTCGGCCTTGCGTTAACTTCCCTGTTTGTCTTTGGGCGGTAAGTGGGTACAATGATCAACCTGACAAACTAGACTCTTACACCCTAGACCCTCGCACCCGCAACCTGCACACGCAGGTTTCGAAGCAAGATCCTTCTCCCAAAACACCTTAACTCCATATCTTCTGTCCTTACTCAATCCTCAATCCTGTACAGGGGGTCGGGTATGCTTGATTTTGCAGAGATTCAAAGCTGGAAGCCCTAAACCCAACATGCCCTAAGCCTTAGTCACCCCCCTGATATACCTGAGGGCTCCTTATCAGAATCAGAACAAATCATACCCACCCAAAACCCGATGAAAGTTCTTGAGGCCGTTTTGAAACCCTCGATCTGTCTGCAACCGAGGTACTCGCTAGCCTTGGGTGTTACGCAGGCCGCAGCTATCCTTAGACTAGAGTTTATAAAACGGCTGTTGGGCACCGTTTGAGTTGTGGTTTTCTTGATAAGGGTTTCTTGTGGGAATCTCCTAGAGATACTTGGGGTACTTATGCTCGCGTATTTGCCGCGGCAATACAATACACACGTGCAATCCAGAATGCTTAGAGTCTTATAGAGGCATCACAGCAATATGCACACAACCGACGACGAGAAGGACAAGGAGGAGGAGGAGGAGGAGGAGGAGGAGGACGACGAGGACGACGACGACAACAGCAACAGCAGCAGTTGCAGTTGTAGTCGTAAGAGGAGCAGCAAGTGGTTATTCAGCAGCAGCAGCAGCAGCAGCAGCAGCAGCAGCAGCAGCAGCAGCGGAAGCAGCGGCAGCGGCAGAGTATTGACCCCAATCCTTACACCGAAAGACCCTATATCCTAAATCAACGAAAGAGCAGAGAGGAAACACCCTAAACCCTAAGCCCTAAACCCACATCCACAAACTGGATCAGTTTCCATGTCATGCTTCGGGTCAAAAGTTGCCCCATAAATCTTCAACCGCAATCCTTCCCTGTAGCCGAACAGACCTACCCTTTTTGGGGCTCCTGAGTATGGTTTCTGTACATGGTTCCTGAAAAATTTTAGGTCTTTTGGGCCGCGGCCACAGGTAACCCCAAACCCCAAACCCTCAATCTTAGACCCTCAGCCGTAACCCCCAAAGCCTTAACCCTAATCCCTGCGCCCCAAACGCCAAACTTTGTGTACCAAAGATCTGTCGAAGTGCAGGGATCGGGGGGCTCAGTCTGTATAGGTTCCTTTTAAGGGCCCCTGTAATATGAGGGTGTTTCGTGTTTAATATAGGGGCCTCAATGATGACCAATACTATTTTTGGGGGTTCCTTGTTGTAGGTATAGTGGGCCCCCAAAACCGTATTCTTATTTCTAAGGCCTCTATATTAGGCTTCAAGAAGTTCCGAGATTCGGGGGCTTTCAAAGTACGTTTTGCTTGGGGTTAGAAGTACCATGAGCATGGAGTTATCGGAAATCAAAAGCCTACTTATTGCGTGCTTGCTGAGCCTGTGGGCCTCTAAGTAATGGAATAACTATCAATATGATTCTGATTCCTATTCCTTAAACGTTTTTTTCTCCTAGTTGTAGTATAATGTACCCGCAAGCCCTTAATTGGGAAGACCCCAACATTAGCCTGCAGCTGTCGGACCTTTCCGAGCACCCTTAAAATCTCGAGGGATGACGCTCTACAACTCCACGAAACCCTCCAACCCGAATCGTCACTCTGGTTATAAGCCGAGAAAGAACTTAGTTCAAGTGTTAAAAAGCAGTGTAGCCTATCATGGCCTTTATGTGAGCATACACATCCTGACTCTCTCGGTTTCTTTGCATGTGTTTTCATGCATGTATACATACCGTTTATGGTCATTTAAACTAATTTCGCTGACAAGAGCCCCCTTACCTCAACCGCGAACCCTAAACCCAAACCCTAAACCCCAAAAACGAACTAAACCCTCAAATCCCTAAACCCCAACCCCAAAAAACTAATCCCTAAACCCTAAACCCTAAACCCCAAACCCTAAACCGTAACCCCAAAAACTAATCCCTAAACCCTAAACCCTAAACCCTAAACCCTACAAGAATCGCCCCCAAGCCATCGCCAGGCGATGCAAAGCATCTTCTGGGTCCTGGTGTTCCTAGCAGCTGGCCTCATTAGGGTTTAGGGTTTAGGGTTTAGGGTTTAGGGTTTATAAGGGTTTAGGGTTTAGGGTTCAGGGTTTAGGGTTTAGGGTTTAGGATTTAGGGGTTTCGGGGGTGGAGCTTCCATGCATGGGTAGTTTTAAAAAAGGGTTCCCTGGTAGGGTCCTGTTTACCAAGGTGCCGTACTATTTTGGGGACTTATATTAAAAGGCACCCTAATTTAGAGAACTACCTGTATAAAGTGTGAGCTTCATTGAAGGGGCGCATGGTTCGGGTTTAGGGCTTAGGGCAGCTGCCCATGAGAGTGGTTTTCGACAAGCCTTCCCAGATGATTCTTTGCACTGCTTGCTGCTAATCTTCGTTGAAGTTACCGTAATGCAAAATCAGCATTCATAATCCTTTCTAAGTGCGTAAGCGTATATTTAATTTAGAACTCTATGCCGACCCCTCAAAAAAGCCCTAATGACCGGATCACTGGCATTTAAAACTATAGAAACCCTCCGAGGTTGTCACGCTGTACGCCTTTGCGATTCTGGCCACGCGCCTTCTCGGTCTTGCGCTTACGGCACCAGGTTAGGGTTTGGGCAGCGGGTTTAGGGGGGAGGGTCAAATTAATATAAGGGGTTGCGAATACTTATGATCAGTAGATATTTGTGTTTATATAAGGGGCGTAAATAATTACCAATGCTATTTTGGGGGCTCCTTATTGGATTATAGTATGGTATACCCCAAAACGCTATTCTAATCATAAATCCCCCTTCATTAGGTAGGTTAGCACGTGGGGGAGTACATGATTGATTGGTACCTGGACCTTGGAGGGAGACGTCTGAAGACCAGGCCCTAAAGGTGTCCTCTCTCAGATGCGCAATCGTTGTTTAACCTTAGTTCCGTACACAAAGCCCAGTTCGGTATCCCCAAAGTGCCCTAAGCCCGAAACCCTAAATCGTCGTGAGAAAAAGGAAGCTCCTCTTTCCTTGCCAGTATTGCGGATGCACACATGATTATGGGGTCGTAGCTAATGTCTATGGGCCTGTTTAGGGCTTATAGGGGTTAGGGTTTAGGGTGAAGGATGGTTGGTGGTTGCATTTTGGGATCTCAGCCGTACTCCTGAACCCTTAACAGGCTGACAGGAACCAACCAAAATTGTGCCGGAACAGCACGCATGGTGGGCTTCAGAAAACTAGGTGCCCTTTTGGGAGTCGATCCCATTGTGGAGGGAACTATATTAGGGGTGGGTATCCCAATGATGGCTTCAAAGAACATCCCAAAGCCCTGCATGAAAAGTACACATTGAGCATTAATCTTTGGTTCGGTTCCAGAAGACTCTACCCCGATGCCGTCGCATCTGATGGGATCAGGTCACTCTGACTTCGTTCAGGCTCGCCCAGCGACAGTTCACAAGTTCGAACCATGCTCTTAAGTGTCTAGGATCTAGGGTGTAGGCAAACCGGATACACCTGGCTTGATATCATCACGCTCTTGGCGTTACTGTTTCTGTTGCCATGCCATGCTCAACGACATTGCCCTTGTTACCGTCACTGTTGCCATAGTACTGATGCTATGATTTCCTGTTTATGCTGCTGTTGTTGCTTTGTTGTTGACTCTGTGTCGGTGCTTGCTGCCATCATTGATCGTATAACGATCGTGATGTGATGAGTGCTAAGTGCTAAAGACCATCATTGTCGTTACCATCGCCAAGATGATGACCACCAGCCGCTACGTGGAGCCGATTGTTCTTCAAAGAGATCTCGCACATGACCCTAAACCCGAGCCCCAAACCGGACACGACCAGTCAGTGTAGGTCAGCCTTGGTTGACGAGGTTCCTATGGCCTAGATGCAAAAGCCCGGAAAGCCTACAACACCCGAAAGCCCCGGATCGTGAAACCCTAAATCCCCTGAACTCCAAACCCTAAACTCCAAGGCCGTTCAAATCGCAAAATCCTTAAACCCTAAGAAAGCCGTCAAGCAAGAGGCGCGAGAGTCCCGATCCCAGAAGCATCTAGGACCACGGATTCCCTCTACACATTTTCAGTGTAGCTGGGGGTTTGGGGTTTTGGAGCGTTGGGGTTTAGGCTTTACAATTAAGGCAATATAGGAGGGTTCTGGGGAGTTTGGGGGGTCGGGGCACTTCGTAAGTAGCGATTAAGATCCCGCTTAGGGTACCTACACTACGTAAACTCCCTCCAAGTAGCCTGTTCGTAGTGCTCCAGTACCCAAACTTTTAATCATTTTTGGTTTTCACTATAGTTTAGCAGTGATTTGAACTCTTCCCCTTTAACTTCTGTGCCGTATTGGGGATTGTTTAGCGATGTTTAGGGATAGTTATCTACAACACTACTATTCTCATTGTTCTGAGGTCTATATCGCTTCAAGCCTATAGCCCTAGACCTCGTAATGCCCACGGCCCTTGCATCGCGCGCTTGATCTGTCTGTGGGCTGACCACGCCAGCTCACAAAGGCCAAAGAGCGGTCACCGATGCCAAGAGCAATCTAGGGGTTTTGTTTTCTTAGATCGATGTTATTACTTTCCTGTAAGCCTTACCCTCAACCCTTGACCCTAAGCCCTAGGCCCTCAACCTCTAAACCCAGCTGCAAACCGTCGACCCAAAACCTGTAAGCCTGCCAACCTAAGCCCCGAGCAGCCTTGTACGAACCTAATACTACTACTAACCGTATGAACCCTAAACCCTAAACCCTAAACCCCCCCCAGGCCCTGATACAGAAGCCTTAATAATTACCAGCATTATTCCTATAAAGATACGAAAAAGAAGCCCCAACGCCCTAGTCTAGTTATCAAGGCTCCTACATTATGCAGCCCTTCGGCAACCTGAAGCTCTAAACTCTAAGCCTTGAACCAAACCTCAACATAAAGCCGCTAATGTACGGGCCTAAATTACCAAACCTCTTTTGGGGGGTTCCTTATGAAATTCATAGTATAATACACCCCCAAAACCCTGTTCTAAATATGAAGCCCCCTATAATAAGCCTCGAGCCCGTGACCCCGCTCTCGGGCCAGAAACCACCCCAAAAAGACTCTGCACCCAGAACCCAACCCGAAAGCTTTTCTAAGCCTTTTTTAGGGTTTAGGGTTTAGGGTCTAGGGTTTAGGGTTTAGGGTTGAAATCCCTAAGACACCCTGGTCAAACCCCAAAGCGCCATGCTACTTCAAGCTGTAATCCCTCTAGAACAGAACCTTAAAGAAGCCCTTGAGTGGACCTTCTCGCCCTAAGCCTTACACCCCCAATATAGGGGCCTAAATAATTACCTATACTATCTTGAGGGTTACGTTTATAGTATAATATACCCCAAAGCCTTATTCTGACGATTATAAAGCCCTTACATTACCTATGAAACAGGAATCCGACGATCTGCCAGTGGCCAGCAAGGAGCTCTTCTGCTCAATCTGTGCCCTGACATGCATGAGGTTCAGAATTCTAGGAAGGACTATACTGGGGCTCCGGGGTTTAGGGTTTAGGCTTTGGGGTTTAAGGTTTAGGGTTTAGGGTTTAGGAGTGATTCAGAGTTCTAGGAAGGATTCTACTACTTAGTTAAGGCCTTGAACTGGTTAATATAGAAGCCCAAGCCATTACCAATTTTTTTTGGGGGGTTCCTTATTTCAAGTATAGTATAACATGCCCCCAAAACTCTATTCTAATGATTAATGCCCCTACACTACTAAAGGGCCCTAAACCCTAAACCAGCCCTATATCTACCCCTAAACCCTAAACCAGCCCTATATTTACCCGCTTCGTGGGGTTTTTGGGGGGTTCCGTGTTTGGAGCGAAAGTTTAAGAAAGGTCTCAGGTGTAACGTTTGATTTTGTTCTGAAAGCCTCAGCAGGTTTAGGCTCGAGAGTTATGTGGTTTAGGGTTTAGGGTTCAGGGGCCTTCCCTGAAGATCCTAAACCCTAACACCCTAAGCCCGAAAAAGCTCGAAACCTTCTAACCTGAATCCCACAACCCTGGACCCAACCCGAAACCTTACAATCCCTAATTCCCCGTTTGCCCAAAGCTTTGAACCCTAAACCCTAAACCCTAAACCCTAAACCCTAAACCCTAAACCCTAAACCAGGTGACTTGGCCGACCTAAGGTTTGATGTCGGTTCCCAAACCCCGGCACGTGTAACAGTCAGAGGTTTAGGGTTTAGGGTTTAGGGTTTAGGGTTTAGGGTTTAGGGTTTAGGGTTTAAGGGTCAAGAGTCTTAATATGATTAAATGGGTGTTAGGGTTAGTATATTATGGTAAAGCTGTCATAAGGAACCCTGGGCACTGGGGGAAGAGTGTTACCGATTATTCGGGCTTCTGTAGTACCCATGCAAGTGTTGAATCTGCAAGCCCACACCGTTCAGAAGCCCGATCCCACCAATCCCCGACGCCCCGACCCGCCCAACAAATCAAGTCCTAGACCCTAAGCGGTAGTGAAGAAAGACGCCGCCTACCAGGGGACTCGATGTTCGCGCTTTTCAGCGTCTGAGCCTCGTTGACTGGATAGCCCCCGGATCCGCGAATGAACTCCAGGAAAGGTCTGCAGTCGGAGGGTAGATGGTTTGGAGTTGAACTACTCAATAACTACGATAACAACAGCACAAACACCAACAGCAACAGCAACAACAACAACAACAACAGCAACAATACTCATCATCATCACCATCATCATCATCATTATCATCATCACCATGACCATCATCATCATCATCATCAGCATCATCATCATCATCATCATCAGAGTAAGACCGATATTCGGCAGAAGAAGAAGAAGAAATGCGTTTTTAGACGGGCCTTGTATGGTGGTCTATGGGACCCGCTTTTTCGATGGCCCTTAGGCTGTAAGGTTCAGGCATGTAGGACAGGGTTTAAATTTAGTTGGGGTTTAGGGTTTACACTTGCTTGCGGTTTTAGTTTGGGGCGGGGGAGGGGAGTGTTGAGTCAAACTTTAGGATGCGGCATATCGGCTTTGCAAACATGGGAGCTTCCGAAAATTCGGGTACCTTATTTTTGGGGTCCCAAGCTAGGGATTCCCATTTTCGGAACCCCCCATATAGGGGTTTCCGAAATAGGGGACCCTAATATAGCACCCCAAATAGTAGGATCCTTATTATAAGGACCCCTAAATAAGGTACCCCCTATTTTCGGAAACTCCCATATAGGTTGCATGTTCAGGGCAGCAGAGCAGATCAATTCTCTGCGCGAGGTGAAGCAACCACTCCGCACAGTCCCGCAGAAACTCTTGGGGTTTAGGGTTCAGGGTTTAGGGTTTAGGGTTTAGGGTTTAGGGTTTGGGGTTTAGGGGTTTAGGGTTTAGGGCTGTAGTAGTTGTAGTAGTAATCGTCGTCGTCGTAGTGATTGTAACAGTAGCAATGGCGACACTGATCAGCCACCTCGACGGGTGGACGCCGATGGCTTCCCAACAGGGGCCGGAAGCACGCGAAGCTGGCCTTGCAACTGATGTCTCACAGCAGTCATGGCTGAAGGTCTGAAAACTCCAAAAACTCTGTGCGGGAGCAGACGAGACTTGGAAGAAGAACATGGACAAGGACATCAGCTTTGCCAACGTGATCAAAGAAAGGCAAAGCAGCACTCTCTCCAGTCAAGGGCGAAAGTTTGGCCAAGGCCATCGACCAAGCCCAAAACCCTAGTCCAATTTATTAAGGCCCCAAACCCTAAACCCTAAACCCTAGTCCAACTTATTAAGGCCCCTGAATTACATCGTTCGTGAATCTCAAAACCTGGAACTATCTCACACCCCTGGAAAGCGAAATCCCGGCTTCCTGAAGCAGCCGGGTGTTTCGCTTTCCGGGGGTTTAGGGTTTAGGGTTTAGGGGGTTTAGGGTTTAGGGCGAAACACCCGGCTTCCTGAAACAGCTTCGGATGTTCAGTTAGGGTTTAGGGTTTAAATTAGGGTTAACGACAACTTGCTTTTCTGACGACTCATCAGAACAGGGTTTTTTTGGATAAGAAGGAACCACCAAAATAGTATTGGTTATTAGTATTTATACTATACATACAAGAAGGAACCCCGAACATAGTATTGGTAATGATCCAGGCCCCTTTATTAAGCCTCTCCGTAAATGCCAGCTTCACCATGGCCCTGCGAGCCTTCGATTCACCGAACCCCGAGACTCCAATATCCCTGAGTACAGGAATACACCCTAAATCATATACGAGATTCTACTATAATTTAAGAAGGTATATCACTTAGTTAAGGAATATACCCTAAATCATATTACGGATCCTACTATATTTTGAGAGTAAAGTCCTTAATTAAGGGAGATCGGAGCCTCTGGGAACTAAAGACCGTCGCATCTGGCTCAGCCCCAAAGTTTGTAAGGTAGGGGCCTTAATAATTAGAATAGGGTTTTGGGGTATACTTACCTATAATTAGAATGTGGAGCCCCCCAACAAAAAATATAGTATAGGTAATTATGTAGGCCCCAATATTAGGAACCCTAGCTGACTCAATCCTAAAGCGATGATGCCTCCATTTCAGTATAACCAGGAAGAAGAGCAATCATAGAACACCTGAAGAATAAGGCATACTTGCAGTACCTGTACCTGAGCAAAAACCGTACAACATAAACCTATTAAAATGGCTCCGACCCTATATAGAGCCTAGCTAATGATGACATAGACCAAATACAAGTACCCTAAACCCTAGACCCCTAACCCAACACCCCTACAACCTTCTTCAAGAGGGGCGACTACATGCCACCGAAACCCCTAAAACCCTAAACCCCCACACCCCCAAACCCTAAACCTCGAAGCCCTAAACCCCGAAATCCCTCAACCCATACCCCTCTGTAACCCTAAACCCTAAACCCTACACCCTAAACCCTAAACCCTAAACCCTAAACCCTAAACCCTAAACCCCTGAAACCCTAAAGCTGCGCCCAGATCATGAACCAGCAGAACTGGGAAGCCATGGGGCCCCTCCTAGACAAGGCATGGTGCGCGGTAGTGGGGAGGGGGGGTATGGCTTTTTGGGCTTCGGGTTCAAGGTTTAGGATTTGGGGTTGTGAGCGTAGGGTTTTGGGCTTAGGGTTTAGGGCGTGTTTGTTTTTTTGTTTCCAGCGCTTAGGGTTTAAGTTTGTTTCCGCGATTCTGGGTTTAGGGTGTCTTTCTTTGTTTGTGCCAGGGTCGTCAAGTTGAGGTTCTAAGGTGCTGTTCTTTTGTTGTTGTTCAGTGTTTAGGCTTTTGCGGTATGTTTTTGATCAGGGGTTTGCGGCTTCTATACAGGGTTTGGTTACAATCCCTAAACCCTAAACCCGGTTACGTTGGGGCATCAGGGACTAAGTTCGGGGGTTCAGGGGTGCAGGAGATGTAATGTGTGGTTAGGGTTCCCTGAAGCCTAAACCCTATAGGGTTTAGGGTTTATGTAGGGTTTAGGTATCCTAGCCGGAGTTAACCCGTCCCAAACTGCTGATAGAACCTCTTGTTGAAGCCCTTGACCTGTGTCGTGAAAAGGCCACATGGCCATGTCCATGCAGCAATAGTAGCGCCATGTGTGTGTGTGTGTGTGGATTTCTGAACTACTAGGAGGAGGGAAGATTATCTGAGGCTTGTAATTTACGGTTCTAAAGCTTGTAATTCTAAGGTTCCGGACAACCCTTGCGAATTATGCTTCATGTTCTCTAACTATGAACGCAAGCCCCCAAACCCCGACACCCTAAACCCTAGACCCTAAACCCTAAACCCTAAACCCTAAACCCTAAACCCTAAACCCTAAACCCTAAACCCTAAAGGTTCCAGCCATCAAGCCCGTCTACGTGCTCTTCACGATTTGTTCTTCTTGGGCTCTCCTCTCTGTGCTCACGGGCGTTGGGGGCCCCGGACAGAGGTTTAGGGTTTAGGGTTTAGGGTTTAGGGTTTAGGGTTTAGGGTTTAGGGTTTAGGGTTTAGGGTTTAGGGTTTCTCGTTTACTCTAGACTCCTGAATTTCTAGTCCTAGTAAGTCCTGGTAAAATTATGGAAAACCCCACAAAAAACAGTCTATGTCTCAGCTTTCTTTTTTTGGAGGGTTTGCTCTTTTGGCTTTGTGGCGGATTAGCTTAGCAATTTCGAGTTTTGGGGTGTCTCGTGTTTCCCGAAGAGTGATATAGGATCTTCAGAATGAGTTAAAGCAAGTTAAGATACAGCCTCTTCTATCAAGCATGCACTGTGGACTCCAGTTTTTCCATCGTATTGTCAAGGCAAAGAAAGTCGCGCAGGCACCGTAGACCGGTGGCTCCGTTTTGGACACCCCGGGCGGCATGTCTTCTCATTATGTCGTCCGCGGCCTGCGCAGTGAGCTAGCAGATGAGCTGGATGAAAGCAAGCATCATCCTTGACTACCGCTCCATCTCCCAGCCCTTCGGGGACTTGATCTTCCGAAGGAGGAGCCCAGGCGTGGTTGGATACTCTCCAAGATGCGACCCCTCATGTGACACCCTTGTTGTAGGGCCCAGGAAGGTCAACAGAAGCCGTAAGCCCCTAAACCCCAAACCCCAAACGTTAAACAGGCGATGCCCACACCGTACATGTTGTACCCGAAACGACCGACGGCTCTGGGGATCTTGTTCTAGGCTTCGGGGTTAGGGTTTAGGGTTGTTCTGAGGGCTTCACATTCATGGGAACCTCCTCAGGTCCTCCGAGAAGTATGCTTTGGCTTCTAAGCAGATTAAGGTAAAGCCTTTACCAGATGTTTCCCCTGTACCACAGCGGCCTTGATGGGTTTGATTTTCAAGAGCCGTCGTTCTCTGAGGCAGGTCAACCTTCAATATTTTTGTTTGTGGGTTTAGGGTTTAGGGGTTTGTGGTGCTGAAGGCTTTGCCCCCAACACTGTGGATTTAGAGGCGCAAGCTAAGCCCAAGACCAGGGCCGGAAACTCACAGTTGGTGTTTCATATAGGGGCCTTAATAATTAGAACGGGGGTTTTGGCGCCCATAATACCATGGTTTTTAAACCAGGAAGCCCCAAACCCTGATTCTAATTATTAAGGTCCCCTACATTAGGTTTTAGGGCTTGGGCTTTAGAGTTTTGTGTTTATGGTTAAGGTGTCAAAGCTACACGAATATAGAAGCCTAAAGAATTACCAATATTTTGGAGGTTCCTTGTAGTTACAGCTATAGTATCAAATGCCCGAAAACCCTGTTCGAATTATTAAGACCCCTACATTATAGAACCCTTATAGTATCCCTGAACGTAGCCCTTTAAAGGGACGTTTTAAGAGAAGCCCTATTACAAGCTAGACTAGTGACTAGGGTTTTCGGGCTTTTGGATTGGTTTTCAAGCAGATGTGGTGGCGCCTTCAGGAAGAATTGATATCATAGGGGCCCTAATGATTAGAATAGGGTTTGGGGGTATATTCTGCTATAGCAATAACCAGGAACCGCCAAAATAACATTGGTAATTGTTGAGGCCCCTACATTATGTATTCAGGCATCTGTACTTCTGTTGGTAAACCCTAAACCCTGAACCCTAAACCATTCCTATATACTCCTAAAGGTTTACATTTAGTTCCCCATGATGCTTGACAAGTATAATATAGGGGCCTTAATAATTAAAATAAGGGTTTGGGGCCCTTTATAATACTATATTTATCGTAAGGAACCCCCAAAGGTTTATTCTAATTATGAAGGCCCCCACATTGGGTTATGTTGATGATGGGGTGCAGGGTGTAGCAGTGTAGAATCTTCAGCAAACACCCCCCAGTCCTTTTTACCTGAAGACCTCCCAAAATCCTTGGCCCCCAAACACCCTAAACAGAACCCTAAGCCCTAAACCCCTAAGACCTAAGCCCTAATCCCAAACCCTAAACCCGAAACACTAGACCCTAAACCCTAAACCTCAAACCCTAAACCCCAAACCCTAAACCCTAAACCCTGAAACACTAAACCTTAAACCCCAAACCAGCTGAAACCCTCAATCCCCTAACTGTTCCCAGCGCCTTCAGGTCGTGAGCGACAACATGATGGCAGTACGCGAGTCCCAAGCACAGAAGGACGAAGAGGCCGATTCTCCAGTTGTTAGGGCTTAATGTAGGGGCCAGGGGTTCCTTGTTGGCATTACAGTATAATATACCCCAAAGCCCTATTCTAATTATGGTATAATATACCCCAAAGCCTTATTCTAATTATAGTAGAATGGGCCCAAACCCTGTTCGAATTATTAAGGCCCCTATACTACAGACCCTAAACCCTAAACCTTACGCCGTGGGTTCAGGGTCTACCTGGACCCTGAAGAACCTTGGGTTCCTTATTATGGTTTCTTTTTTTTTTAAGTCCTTAAAAAGGTAGGTTATTTGGAGTTTAGGTAGGGCTTTGGGGTTGGGTGCTTATATAAAGCTTGCAATGTTCATAGGTGTCGGGCTCAGGCTTACAGCCCCATGTACCTAAAATATAGATCTAACTAGTATATGGGTAGTTCTCTAAGTTAGGGTCCTTGTCAGGGTCGGCTTTATATGGGTGCCCCTAAAGTAAGAAGGTCAACAAGAGTTCTTGTCATGCAGCTGATATTGTTAATCAGTGTATTGCTGATGGATGTCTCAGCTGCAGGGTACGACACTGAAGATCTGTACTTTCGGCCGGCATGTTGAGTTCACGGACTTTGGGGATATTCGGTACTCCAGCGCACATTCTGGACAGGCTTTTGAAGAACGTGGGCAGGATCTTCATTGAACTTCATGTGGTTCGATCAATACTATCGTATAGTACACCCAGGTATGCCCCAACACCCTATTTATTCCAATAGAGGAAGGACACTATATTGAACCCTAAACCCTGAACCCTAAGCCCTAAACCCTATATTGAAGCCTAGACCCTGAACCGCTTTGCTGTCCAGGCCGTGGAGGAGCGCAGGATCTGGCTAGCAAGGTGAGAGAGTTGCTGATTGGGTCAGGTTTGTCTTTGGTTCAGCGTTTTCGGGGTTGAAGGGCATTAGAAGAGTTCAATGGAGTTTTGTTGCGGTGGTTATATGAGAGCTTATGGGTTTTTTGGATTTAGGGCATAAGGATGTTGGGCTCTCGGGCTTGGGGCAGAAGGGTTTTTGGGAATTTAGCATGCAGGGTTCAGGATTGAACGCACGCGGGGATCAGTATAGGGTTTACGGGTTAAGGGTTCAGGTTATCAGGAGGCTCGCCACGAGTTTAGCTAATTCCAATGAAACCATATGTCAAGTCCCGTGATCCTTCAGGTGGGATGTAGGTATATGGCTTTGGGGTGTGACTGTAAGGTCTTTGTGTTTTGAAGTGTACCTTAATGATCGTAAGGTACTCCTCTTGTGCGGATGTTCAGTCTTGTCACTTCGGAGTCTGTGGTCGAAAATAGCTGTAATTTCGGTGGGCCAGTATTGGTTTGAAAAGGGCTTTCGGGGTATGTTGTGGCATTTCTATATAGGCCATCTTTCAGTCACCCTGTGAATTGTCATTCGGAGTTGCATATGAATGTTCTTGATCTTCACGGTCGGAGGTTTTAGGGGCCATCTTTGATTGGCAGAGGTGGCTGCGCGGCGTCTTCGCCGCAGCCGACAAGGACGGCAGCATGACGCTGGAGAGAAGTCGTGGCCCTACAGGGCGTAGGGCAAGGGGGCTCTAGGGCTTCAGGGCTTAGGGCTTAAGGTTTAGGGTTTAGGGGTTTAGGGCTTGGGGTTTAGGATTTTGGGTTTAGGGTTTAGGGTTTGGGGGTAAGGCAAGGGAGTCAGATCACATTTTCCGTATTCCTCCGTCGGGTTCGGGAACTGGTGTCAAGTTCATTCCTCTCACAGGAGCCAGCCTAGTCGTAGTGCTTCGGGAATGCTTCTGAAGTTTAGAGTGGTTTTGGGGTTTAGAGGTTAGGTGTCTTCCCCCATGCTATTGGCATGGAGCCCGAAACAATGCCCATCCTTTGCATGCTTCAGGGGGTGCTACTCGGGTCCCCAATTTGAATTCTCAGCGATTGCTCGGGCCCGCGCGACGTTACATCCTCAACCTATTGTAGAAGCCTAAACAATTACCCATGTTATTCTTAGGTTTCCTTTATACTTATGCTATAAAGGAGCCCTTAACCCTATGCTGATTATTAAGGCCCCTACATTAAGTCAACTTCTAGAAGAATCTGCTGTCTCAGGCGAGTATCGCGAGCTGCTGAAGCAGAGCCCTCGGAAGAGTCGAGAGACGGGCCGTCAGAGAGCCGAGGAAGGAATTCAACGGCCTCAGTGGTTGGAGCATGTGGGTACAGTAGTTCTCTAAATTAGGGTCCCTTTTTGTGTCGCCAATATAGTACGGCACCCTTATGAAAAGGACCCTAATTTAGAGAACTACCCATGTGCATTTTGCTTAGAGGGGCGTTTCGTAAGTAGGTGATAAGTAGGGTTATAGCTACGGGTAGCCTGAAGTAGGGTACTTAAATCCCCAAGCAGAGTAAACCCTAAACCCTGAACCCTAAACCCGAAACCCTACTTACTAGATCCCTAACCCTTCATCCGGTGGTGAGTTTCTCCGGGGCCCGTTGTGAATAGAGTTGAGTCTATATTTGGGATGTTACCATGGGCTTTGTATCAAAACTTCACAAGAAGCCGCACATTAAAAGGATTTCAAAGACGAGTAAGCAGTTTAGGCTTGGGGCTATGAGTCGCATGATAGGCGTATCTTAAGCTTACACGCTGACTAACCTTCTGATCCTTTGAGGCACCGTTCAATACAGAGGTCTGGTTACGGTTATCCCTGCCCCAGCATATCGCAATATTCTAACCGTAGAGGTGTGAATAATGCTTGTAAGCCCATCGTATAATTTAAACCCTAAACCCTAAACCCTAAACCCTAAACCCTATAAGTTCCTATGAGGGCCCGGCTTTTCTTTGTGCGGGTCAGGTCCCCTTTCCACTTGAAGCGACTGCAGCAGGCAGGGTCTCATCAGCCAGTTCGGGCGCTTTCCTATATGAAGCCTACACAGATATGTGTATATACTTGTAGATGTACAGCACGTTTACGTGTATCTATGTACATAAGTACATACAATGTATGTCATACATACATGCATACGTACATACATACATACATACATACATACATACATACATACATGCACATACATACATGCATACATGCATACATGCATACATACGTATGTAAATAAATAAATAAATATGTTTATACACCTAATTACATACGTACATGCGAATGTTTGCGGACATGCACTGCTTCAGAGCTTCGCTTCAGATTGCAGCTCATACTTTCGTCTTTTCAAACAGCCTACAGCCTACAGCACTAAGCCCCCAAGCCTAATATAGGGGCCCCAATTGTTACCTATATTATCTTGGAGGCTCCTTGTTACAACTATACTTTCCAGGAGCCCAAAACCCTATTCTAATTATTAAGGCCCCTGTTGCAAACCCTGAAGGGTTCCTTGGAAAAACCATCACTACGTCAAAACCCTGAACTCTTGGAACCCCGTGGCACTGCGAAGGATCTCGCAGCGAAAGACAGAGCTCGATACATGTTTTCTGCACAAAGCCCTGGACCCCTGCAACTCCCGAAGCCCTGAGCTGATGATGTATTTAGACTAAGGTTGAAGCAAGAAGCATCTACCAGCCAAACCTAGACGAGCTTTACACGCCTCGTCTTTCAGGGGAGGGCCCTGATTCGCTACTATGAGCCAGTCAGGCAACAACTGAAGAATCAAGCCTTGAACACTGCAGCTGCAAATGCTCTAACTCTATCTATTACGCACTAACCCCCTGCACCTTGCTATTGTCGTAACTTTGTGCCTGCCCCATAACAATACCCTGCACACCCCGATGCTGGAATCAGTTACCCTGTCGTTATGCAAAATTGTAAAGCGATACAACAGGCCATCATTGCAAGGAGGTGCCAGGCGTTGGCAGACAGTTTTGATGCCACCCCATATACATATACATATATATATATATATGTGTGTATATATATATATATGTTTTATGCAGGCGCACGCACACGGTGACACACACACACACACACACTGAACGCCCTTTGCGCCCTAAGCACTCTATATCTGCCCCTAGCTCGTCATCAGGTTGCCAAGGTGCCCATGCAGGACCTGATGCAAATGTTCGACATCCTTGATGCCGGGATCTCAGAAGCTAAACGTACTATAGGTGAAAAAATAATTTTTCCCCTATAATATGTTTAGTGATGCCGGGATCTCAGAAGCTTTAGAAACTCAGATGCACAGGGAGAAAAGCTTCGCAAACGAAGCAAACTAGCGAAATGCAGTCGCGGACAAACACGGGGCCCTCCCCTCCGGTGAAACCACCACTTAAAGATCTTTGCTAGGGTGCCGGGTTTAGGGTTTAGGGTCTAGGTCCTCTAGGTAGTTGAGGTGGCATGTCTCCCTCCGGAACGGGCTTGTGCTTCAGGGTGTTCAGGGTTCATGCCTCATGCCTGCAGCTCGCGGCTCAGGAGATCTGGGGCGTCATTTGGGAGTTTCCGAAAATACGGGGTACCCTATTTTGGGGTCCTTATAATAGGGATCCTACTATTTAGGGTACTATATTAGGGTCCCCTATTTTCGGAAACCCCCATTTCCTGATTGCTGAGCCGGAAGCCTTTTCACTGAAGAAAAGATTGTGCAAAGCATCGCGATACCACGTAGAGCCTTCAATTCCTGAGAAAAGCTTAGATTATGGAGCATTCTCTTTAACGCGCTCAACCCCGACAAAACCTAAGAGCATCTGCATGCTTCTGTTCGGTGCTTGGAACCCTTTGAAGCTGTGAGTTTTCTGGATGTATGTGTGCAACATAGGGGCCTCAATAAGTATCTATATTATTTCGGGGGTACTTACTCTAATTTTTGCCTTAAAGGACCCCCCAAACCCTATTCCAATTATTAAGGCCCCTACATTATATGTATGTATGTGTATACTGCCCTGAAAGATTGAGCAGAAGTTTAGGCGTGGGTCGGACCGGATTTCGAATCAATTTACTCGGTTGACGTATCGGCTTTAGGAGGTTAGGCTTTCGATCGGGTTGAGGATTTAGCACCTGGAGTTGGCTTTGAATTCTAGGTCTAGAGTAATTTCAGGTTTAGAGTTGAAAGGTTTGGCTAAAACCCTAAACCCTAGCCCCGATAATCCCTGAACCCCGAAAGCCCTACCCGGAATGTCGGTGGGATTGTCAGGTGGACCACAACGGCCTCATCGAATTCCAGGCAGGGTTTGGGAAAGGGGCAGGCTGCTGGTCAAACAGGGGCCTGAATAGTAAAGAACCCCAAATCAATATTCAGCCCCTAAATAATTGCCAGTACTACTGTTGATGATATTAATCCTGCATTACCTTAAGGACCCTAAAGTATCGGAATTATGGTATATTCCTTATTTTGCGTAATGCAGGATTTATATCATCAACCGTATTTTGGGGTTGCCGTGATAATTATCGCATAGTGGCCCCTATATTACATACGCTCAGGATCCTGGGTCTTCACTAGCAAGGTTACAAGCTTCGTAAAGAAGATGTACCTGCTTAGCCTCTATTCATGTACAGTTGACAATTCTGACTAAGTCTGGAGATTTCTTCCTCGTGATTCTGCACACGACTTGAACAGGGACATGGGTAAACGCATAATATGCATGTGAGAAAGGGCTTTGCAAGGAAGGGAGCGTGAAGCTAAGTCTGGGACTTGCTCTGAAAAAGCTTTGAAACCTTTTAGCCATTTGTGGCCAAATGTTAGCTGGCGGCTAAGCTTGCGATAAGTACGAATGCTTTAGAACCACAGTCCTGCTTTTGGATGACGGCTTTAATAGTAGGCGACATGCACAATTTCCGTCGCGGCGCAGATCGCGCAGCGAAGACGAGTGGAGTCTGCCCAGAGCAGTCGGCAGAAGCAGCCGAAGACGCTATATGGGTAGTTCTCTAAATTTAGGGTCCCTTTTTAGGTCCCCAGTGTAGTACGGCACCCTTATATACAAAGGGACTCAGAAGGGAGCCTAATTTAGAGAACTACCCAGAGGTTTATCTAGTCTTTGGGGACTTACGGGGTGAGTGAGACCCCGACTCAATTTACCCAAGCTCCGAGCTGCAGCGGTCCGGCAGGAGTTTCGCACTATTGATAGCAACCACGGTGGCAAGGCCATGCCTAAACCCTAAACCCTTTAACCCTAAGGCCCCGAACCCTAAACCCTCAAACCCTTAAACCCTTAACCCTAAACCCTAAACCTTAAACCCTACACCCGAAACCCTTAAACTCTAAATTGTGTTCGAAGGTTTGTCCATGGGGCCCGAAACCATGAACCCTAGACCCTATAAACCCTAACCCTAAATTAGGGTTTTTTTGGTTAAGGGTTTACCCTAACCCTAAACTCTAAACCTTGGGCCCTAAACCCTACGCCAAGCCACGAAGCTTACAGGGCTTCGGTGAGAGCAGGGCCAGCTTTCCTTTGAGGAACCTATATTATCACTGTGATTATAACATCTATTATCATTAGTACTGTTGCTATAATTATGATTATTACTACTATTATGACTAGTGTAATGTTAACTATAGTTATTCTCATCCATGTTGTTATGACTGGTGTTTTGTCGGGTGCTTTGCTGCAAGTCTCAACATTTCCAAGCTACGGGCAAACTTTATGTTAAGAAAACTACGTTGCTGTTCCAGGGTCTGGGAACTTTCTTAACAGAACAGGTCGAATAAGAAATATACTTCCCACCCGAGAGTCTGGTGTACATTTCTTAATTGCACTCCTTGCTCCGACCCAACTCTGCTGCTGTGCTGCTGCC